CAACTGTTCTCAAACTTCCTGGACCTTTGATCTGTTTAAATGTTTCTACCCTTTGCTCAGATCTTCTTAACCTCAGTTGAAACTCCTCAACCGCTGCACTAATTGTCTTACCTACTCTTGAAGTATTCTTTAACTCTGTTTTAATGAGCTTAATTACTCACACACTTCCTTCATTTCTGGTGAAACCTCTATCTCCAATCCTTGTCTTGGAGGGATTCCTGTGGCATAGTAATAGTATCCCTTACTCTGAGCCAGCTCGATCCAAGTTCGAGTCCCAACTGCTCCTCAAGTTAGGTAGGTTAGGAAAATATCTATAATTGCTATCTTTTCTCTCAATACCTTTGTACTTACCCAATTTCCCAATCCCTGTATCTGCCTCTCACTTTCTGCATCTTCACTGTGATTTCCCTGAATCTGCTGCTCAAGATCTGTAAGCACTGACACTATATCTGTCTCCTCAAAATCTGTGTCCAACCCCTTGAACTGCATACTTGTCCTTTTGAACGCTGCATCCAGCCCTTCAAACCCTGTATCTGTCTCCTCAAAACCTGTATCAAATGCTTTGACTCTGTACTTGATTGCTGAAACTCTGCATATGCTCCTGGATCATTGTATCTGACTCCATGAACTCTGTATATGACCCCTCCACGCCCCCCCAAACTAATCTCTGAATTTGACTCCTCAAACCCTGTATCCAATCCCTCAAACTCTGCATCTGACCCCTCCCCTTTGAACCCTGTATCCTACTCCTCAAACTCAGTATCTGATTCCACAATCTCCGTATCCATCTTCTGAATTCTGTTTCTGACCCTATCAACTCTGGATCTGACAGTATTAACTCTGCATCTGCCATCTCAAGCTCTGAAACCATCTGCTCAAAATCAGTGTCTGACTCCACAAGCACTAACCAAATCCTTGAACCCCGTACCTGACCCCGTCCCTCAAACATCTTTCTGCTCCCTCAAGCTCTATATCTAACTGTGAGGAACTGTAACAGACTGTGAGAAACTGCAACCCCTGGATATTAAGAGATATACAGCACTGGATTGAGAGAAAAAAGTGGCTAATGGCAGATACTGAGGGCAGAAGCCTTAGAGAATTATAGAATGTGCAAGAGGGAACTGAAAAGGAGAGCTAAAGGGGATATGAAAGGATACTAGTAGGTACAATATTTGATTTGATTTATTGTCGTCACATGTACCTAAGTACAGTGAAAAGTTTTGTTTTGCATACAGTACAGGCAGATCATAATATACAAAGACATACAGGCCATAGATAGTAGGAACTGCAGATGCTGGAGAATCTGAGATAACAAGGTGTAGAGCTGGATGAA